TGTTGTATGAATTATGCAAACAGGAAACCAAACTAGCAAATGGCCCGAAGCGCTATTACAACGAAATTATAAACTCCGTACAAGAGAGAGAAAAAACCGAAACTGTTTAAAATTGACTTCTATGTTTAACGACAAAATCGCATAATCAAAACTAATTGAAGTTTTTGGCTTATGTTGAAATAGAATTCGTCTCCTCGAAACTCCCTTATTGAGTCCATTTCACAAGGTTTTTTTATACAACGAAATATCTAACCCTGTTCGAACGGATGCACAATTTGGCTCGCAGGAAAATGTTGGCTTATTAAATAGTAAGCCATGTCAATGTTTATGTTTTATTTGAGAAATGGAATCAGAGAAAAAGAGAAGAAAGAATTCGCAATGACTTATTCAAGGCCGTAATGTATTCAGTTGAAAGTGAAGCTGCAATGGTAAGATACACAATAACCGAGTAGCCAAATATTTTCCATGCTCCGAACCTATATCTTTTCTCAAATTCACGCTTAAGTGAATTCCGGATCAATTTATTTATTGATAACTTTAGTTCATTTCATCTCTCTAATAACATTTCTTCCTTTTTTTGCGATATATCGTTCGGATCAGTCTACCCCAATGTTTGTTCTGCTTTCTCGATTTAGCTGCACTTTTGGTTTTCCAATGTTTGCCATGATATTGATATTCGAGTGGATTTTTATCGTAGAATTGCCGCATTATGTATTCTGGCTCCAAATTTCTGTGTTCAACTATGCAAAAACTGGCATCGTCTTACCGAATTTTCATCTAGTTTCTTTCGATGGCAGAGAAATGATTAAGTAGATAGAGCTTGTAGAAGTATCACATTCATTTTTCGATATTGAGAAAACTGTGATACCGATTGTTATGCATGAAAAGACATGCTGAACCCAGCCAGAGATTACGATGTACGCGTTCAGACAAGGAAGGGTGATACTACATTATGGAAAATTAAAAAATATTGAAAAATTATGCATGTAATCGAAATTTCTCGTTTGCCGCAATCTGAATAAAACCGTATTACATAGTGGAATAACTCTCAGTCGTCTCCCACATCGTTAGCATTATCTTTCACTCTTTCTTTGTGTTTTGGCATCGATATCACATTTAATTCGCGAAAATACTTTGAAGCGCAATTTATGATAGCGCTTCGCTATGCTTCTGCTTTTGCTTCGATTCTTTCGGTTTAATTCGGGTGGTTTTTCCGCATTTGGAAATAAAATTTCCGGTAATACGTCGAGTGGATGGATCGGATCGACAGAGCACACAAAACACCATTCGATGTAACGATGATGTACGTTGTGTCAGACAAAAAAAGAGATGAAGGAACAAACAGTATACAGATGATAAGTATTTTATGTGCATTTTTATGAGCATGTCAAACGATGTCAGAAAAACAAACGAAAGCATCGAATATCCTGGAGAATAATCGCTTGCCAGAAATTAATCCATTGTGTGCGTGTATGTGTGTGTTGTTTTATTGCTTCTGTTTCTGTTGCTATTCTATTATGAGACATTTGTGTACGTTGCCAAACTCGTGTGTTACACGTTTGTAAAGAGTAAAAAAGCCGAAATGCTGTCACGAACAACACGTTGTTCTGCAAACAATTTGACAGTTGAAAATCGTTTTCAATTTCATGTATCGAATTTTTCTTCCTCGCCACCGAATTTGGCAAATTTGAACCGGATCTACATTAATAAATCCATTAGAGATTCATTTGTTTTGGTGTTGTTGCTTGTTATTACCTCTGCATACTCTTTTTTCACTATGTGAGGTTGACGCATTGTTACATTTTTGTCTATCGTCTTCACAAACAATGAAACGGAACGTGTGCGTCTGTTTTTGATATTTCATGTTTTCCGGTGAAATTTGTTCATTTTTTTTTGTTTTTTCCAGTTATGTTACAAATGTTACGGAACGCACAGTGTCTTTCAATTTCCATTGCAATATATGCCAATGCGTGAAATAACAAATAAAACTAAAATACAAGCGTGTTATAGGGAACATGTATTGTACAGGTAAATTAGTCGGATATGGCTGCTACATCTACATCGTTTCTGCAACAATGCAATCCGCATCGGGCCAACGGCAGACAATAAAATAAACATATCCATTCGAATAAACAAAAGTACAAAAAAGTAAGACCGCGAGCATAACTTGAAGTTTTTGTCTGTCAACAACTTCGACGTTAAAATCCACGCGCACCATCAGTGCAGCCATTCAATTTAAACCAGACAAATAAATTTCAACTAAATTAAAGTGGAACCAAACCATTAACGAGACGCTCGAATTGAGCGTTCTTCAATGTAATTCTTTCAGGCATGCTAAAACGTTGGCACCACAAGTGTGTGCCGCTGTTCCTGTCTCACCATTTAACCATTCACGATTAAAATGCAAAACTTTTCAAATTGGAAATAGCAATAAAATGATTAACATATTGTTTTTGCGCGTTACGTGTTTCCATCTCATTCCTTGCTCTTATTCATTCTATTTTAAGTTTGTATATTTAAGCGAAATCAGTCTGTCCGCCGGTGGCGGCATTCTCGCATACAAATTGTCAAGTTCCGTTGCAACGATGACTTGCAAACCGATAAAAACCGCTAAACTTCCTGTTTTTGAAACGATTGCAATGCCAAGCCTTGTAATTGCTTGAGCACCGTTTCAACTCATGATATGACAGTGTAACGTCGCGCACTCGAACATTGAAAATAAATAACTTTGTTTGTTATCAAGACTTCGTTTTCTATTGTTCAATAGCCTTCGTTTCTCATTCACCAAGGCATGGGTCGGCTATCTACTGGCTCATATTCTTTTTTCTTATTCACATTTTAAAAGATAATTTACGTTCGCGCGATAGCGGTTCTTCATTTCACTGAATTTTCCTTTTGATTTTTTTCCATTTCCCCCGTTCTTTTCCGCTATTTCTTTGTTTTATTTTTCAAAGTTTCAACATCACCCGCAGAAAAAGTGAAGAGTGAAGGGTACGCAAATGGAAAACTTTTTATCAGTGTGCAAATAGTTTTTGTTTTTAGCAGAATTTTTTCTCTCTCCAAAGGATATATATTCTTATATCCTTTCCATACATATTAAACTGAATTCGGTTTCCTTGCTCTTTTTTTCATGAAATTATGAGAAGTTAGTTACGAGCATTTGGATAGAAAATTCACCGGGGAAGAGATTTAAGCAATTATTCCAGTTAATGTCGAACTGAAACCATCAACTAAGCTCTGAATCATCAAATACGTTACCAGAAAAATTAATTTTGTGAAAAGTTATCACGAATAAACATCATGAGCAAAAATTAACAAAGAGTATTCCAACATTCTAAAAAGAAACTTTTACAATTATACCCTCTAAATTCGTTTCTTTCTTTGTTACTTTTAAAATTCTTTATTCGTCTTGTTATATTTGTATACATTATAAATTGTTGAATTTAATATAAAAAATTATTGACCAGAGCAGGATTTCGATGTTTTTTCTTATTCAAAACGACGCTATGAAAGTCATAGTGTTGTACATCACAGTAATGAAAACTGACAGGGGTTGTTGTACTGATGATTAGTTATTGCGAGCAAACAATTGCTTTTATGTTTTGACATGGAGCTGTATTCTATTTTATATTAGTTCAAATGAAATGTACACCATTCAATGCTTTCGGTATTCCAGATATATCTAATTCGTCGATGCGTAATCTAGCTACGTAACCTAGCAGCGATATACTTGTTTTGAAATATCTTTCGAACGAATGGATCTATCCTGATTATTAAGGGTCACAGCTTTTCCAAAGAAAGCAATCGAATATTTTTAGTCGTTTATGAGATAGAGTTGATCTAATAAAATACCCAAAAATGTCATCAGTTTGGGGGAAACATTTTGATTCCATATGTGTTATTTTGGACCCCTCTATCACATCCAATGAGAATTTTGAAAAAAAAAAAAAAAAATCGTGTGACACACTGGTCTACTATTTGCACTACACTCAATTTAATATTTCTATAAAGGTGCATTTACGTACGTATACTTGATATTTAAGATAGATACATTTTCTAAATGCTTATACATCAGATAGATAGAGCTCAGAAAATCCGATCGGTAAGCATCTTGCCAATGATAGAAAATCCGATGAATAAATTCGTTGTGCATTTGAAGCCGAACATTTTTCTTCAGCTTCTTAATGGAATTAGTTTTATTCAAGTTAGGCGTTGAATACTTAAGATTTGTAGACAAAAAGCAAACGGTTTGAGATGCATTGGCTCGAAAAGGAAATTCCCAACTAAATTTATATAGTTGCATACATTTGAATTCGATTCTCAAGTAATTTTCAATACGTAGCTTCAATGGATTTATTCTTGTGCGAGTCGTAATCGGCTCTGCATTTCATCACATTGTAAGTATGTAATGTACGCCTCTGAGTCGAATATCGTTTGAAGTTCAATAAAGTCGATGTATATTCGTAAAATCAATTTTCACATTAACCAAAATGCCAATAAAATATCCATTCAAAACGAATCGATTGACTGCCTCGCTCTTAACAGGCAATGCATTGAAGGATGAGCTGGAGCACATTTTACTAACTGAAATATACACAGGTGTACCATATAAAATCAATATTTCAGGCTGCGAAGCGAGTACAATAAAGCGAACATTCTGAATTTATTACGTTTACACATTTAGGATTGGTTTCCATCGTGCGCTCATACATCGACCAGAATTGAGAGACTTTGCTATCAGATCCATGTCTTGATATACATTTTTCTTAAGAATTTGCTTAAATGAAACATACCATAATGAATAGAACTCTCTCTCTCTCTCTGCATAATATTTAGCATGTGTGTCTGACAAAAAAGAATCAATCTTCGATTTTGTATTCGTATGGCAAAAAAAGTTTAGGCATGCTCATCTTGGCATTTTCAAACTTATAAGCCAAAAAGTTGAATTTCCAAATTGAATTCAAAATTGATTTCGTTAATAGAATTTATTTTTAATTTACCTTTTTCAATGCAATCATTCACAGATTTTGTCCATTGAATTGATTTTGCTAAACACACACTTTTGGAACCATATAATGTTTTTTCGTTATTTCAATTCAATTATTTTGAATCATGTACGCAAATGTAGATCACTAGATGATGACTCGTAGAAAAAGACCTGAAAGAGAAATATCGAAAAAATACGTTATAAATAGTATATTATTTTTTTACAAATTAAGTCTATTTTGCAAACAGCACATACACAAAGGTTGTTGATAACATTTCAAAGGAAGAGACAGTTCATTTGGGTTGATTTTTTATATGTATAAACGTTTAGTTCAGTACAAGGAATCAATATTTAAATACTTTGTCTAAGGTTGCAGATAGACTTCATATTTTTGGAATTCTATTCTGTTGAATAGTAGCCATACGCAATATAAAAAACATAAAAAACCGATGTTCAATGCTATAAAAATAGTACTTTGAATTGTATTCATATTACTCTATATAATTAGCTTATATCCATTTCAATTACAATTCATCAATGTAATAGAAAACGTATTTCCGTTCTTTCGGAAGCGTTCGCAAAACATCAAAAGTATAACTTTTGTAAAATCAAGTTAAATGAGTGCATATATATACGGTTTGCATTGATATTGGTGATGCCAGTTGTTTCCTTGCCAACCTGAAAGTGTGTGCCAATGATAAAATGCCGACAAATGTTTTATCTTGAGCGATTTCGGTTGTTACACGAAACTCAAACAATTCTTTTTTTCATTTCACGAATTGAAAAGATAAAATAAAAAAGAGAGGAATATAAAGAAACGGTGGTAGAATATGATAACTGAAGTTGAAAAAAGGTAATAACCAATAGATTCAATCGATTGAATGGAATAAGGGGCAAAAGAACATTGAAAACGAGAAAACAAGCGGCAAAATGATACGAAAATAGAAAATGAGCAGTACAGTCATATGCGCAATGAATGATTGAACTCTTAATTTAAATGAGTAAACACTCGAAACGAGAGCATCCAAATATATTGTAATGTTCATCACATTACCAAATTTCTCTTTATAAAAACAACATCTGATTCTATTTCACGAATAGTTCACTTTTTTCGAATTGAAATCTCCGAATGAAAACAAGATATAACAAAACATTTCGAATTGAATGATTTAAAACAACCTTTCTTCTTCTTCTAGTAAGGTGAAGCTAGATAATAATAAAAACGTGCCGCCGTATTCATAAGATCCGGTAGCAATTGACAGCGCAATTCTTTTATTATTTACTTGTCGGTAAAATGACAAAAACAGAAAGGATCCAGCATCGTTTGCTCAACACTCTTTATTCGCTACCTTTACATGTATTGTTTATGGTAGCGAGTGTTTTTTTCAAAGTAAGAAATGAATTCGTATCTATTTGTTCTATACTGATGGACACTTCACAGCTTGTAAAAATCGAATAAAATCTGATGTGTTTCGATTTCAAATAAAACTGTGATCAAATAAAATGGCAGTGTCACTTCAAAGCGTGGTTTTCAATAAAATTTCATGTGGACTTTTGTTTAATAAATATTCAGTATTTATGGAACGCAATTTTAATTCCAAAACGAAATTAAATTTAGAAAAAATACAAAACCGTTCAATTTCAAATTATTTTCGAAAATTTGAAGAAAGGTGTACAATGGAATGGACAAAATGAGATGTTTTTTTTTAGACGAAAAATGTTTGCACTCCATGGATAAAAAGTAATGCGACAATAATAAGAACATCTAAATAGGATTTTGTTGACAGGATTGTCACATTGTAAGCGCTGCTCATTTAATATTTAAAGACTGTAATAATGCCAAATGCACGCAACCATGTGTTGCTTTCGTTTGAATAGCCACTATTTAATGCATTTGATCTCCTTTTCTACAAAGAACGCCTCCTGCTTTTTCCCAATACACAATTTCGTAATACATAAACCATTTTCGATGAATCTGAATAAACCAAAACTGTTATTTTTATCGCATAATTTGATATTATGTAGCAACGAAACCATTGTATTCGATTCAAGCAGCTTGGTTTCTTTTCATTCCTTCTTTCGTGACACCGAATGCACGTATAAATATTGACAACGACCGAAAACGACATGCCAAACTAAATGCTGCAAAGAAAGAGAAACAGAAAATCTGATAATCGTTTAAATAAGTTCATTTCATATGCAAAACAATGGATGAATTCAAAGGAGATGAGAAATGGTTTCAATTTTGTTTTGCCTTTTTTTCGTGCGTTTTGTTTCACTTTTCGCAGCAGACGTTTATCATTACGACCAAATCGCATGCTCTTTTGATTCTTTTATCTTTTTCGCAGATTTAGTTTTTCAAACTTTAAATTGGAACTACATTGTAAGAGCAGATTAAGTGCGAAATTATACTTTGTTGTCGTTTTTCATTTTCATCGAACTTAAAAAATATTCCATGCTGATCGGATTGTTAGGTTGTATGAGTTACTGTGATTTTTATCTACTTTCGGTCAAGTTCAAAATCAATCTAATATCGTGCATGTGAATCTAAAAAATTGTTTCTGTTTCGCTTACATTTTTCACGATATAAACGTGCACGTATGCTATTTTCTACCATTTTCATGTGTTTCTTTTGCGCGAGCACCATCAACCGAAGTTTATCGGTAGGAAACTTGATTTGGATCGCGAATCGATTGACCATCAAAGCGAATGGGTATGCGCAAGCGAGCCAGTGAAAATTCTCGTTCTCTTCGAATTTATTTCATTTTTCAGTTCAGTGAATTTTCGCTCATGTTACAACTCTTGAACAAGTTTTTTTTCGGCTTTCTCATGTTTGCCGTCGCTTGTGAAATATCGATATCGTTCTGAAACAGTCGGTCTGTGGCTATTTCTCTCTCTGTCTTCAAGTGCATTTTTCTCTCCTTCATTTTACCATATTTGCTTATCTCGGTTACCATAAACTCTTAAATAAAATGAGCTCTACGTTTTTTGTAGCATTGCTTCGATCTTCAACTTTTACCAATAAAAATATATGAAATGTGAGAAATCGAACGAAGATAAAATTGCTTTTACAGCAAATGAACGCAAAAACTGTAAAAGAATATATAAAATGAAAATTACGAAAGACTTTGGAATATTGCATGCTGACATTTCAATAGATTATTTTAGTTCATTTCTACGGTGACAACATAAGCGTGACAATCTAGAGATGAGATTAGAATCCTGCTGATGATTCTTTGCTCTTTGTTAGCCGCCACTTTATAAAATGACAGAGTGTATTCACATGGTACATGGACTACAATGGTATTATTCCATCCATTGAGAATTCGGATAAAAATAGTGAAATATAATTCGGCGTTGGCAGTTAATCCCAGCATTTTTAGTTGGGCAAAGAAAAACATTCACTGGAAACATCGGCCGTCACAGCTTGTGGCATTCAAACCTCAAACGAAATGTTGTTGGAAAGTAGACAATTTTTTTCTAGTAATATGGACTAGCAACGAAAATAAAATGATTCTTACGGTACATACAATGGTTTTTACATTTCCATACTGCTGTTATATGTTCTATTACTCTCTGTGATACATGCTGAATAGTAAAAGTCTGTTTATTTTTTTTTCAAGTCAAACTTTTTGCCTCTGGCAGTTGAATTATTAATTGAAATCCCGTTTATTTCGCATGATTATCACTTTTATAGACGTCCATTTTATTATTTGATGAGTTTGAAGAAGAATAAAGTTCTAAGAATTGAACATAATAAAAAGATGAGTACTTTTTAACAATGTAAACATAGATCGGTTTAAAACCTTTATGGCTAGTCAGTATCTACACACAAAACACATAAGCGAAATCTACAAAGTGAGCACGCAACTAAATTATGTTAACTATGTATGCAAGTGAGATCATTCCGTTAATATATATTGAGAACTAGCCATCAATTGACGTGGGAAATTCATGAAGTAAAAACAATTAAAGAACAGTGCATATTATCGAAACTGATAATCTTGGCGGAAAATTATGGAATTTATTAGTTTTTGGTCTTATAACATTCTGATATGATTATTCTATGGACTTTAATGTAAATTGCAAACAATGTGTATTTTGAAAATGAGTCCATTCAAATAGAAATGCATTTCTTTCAAATAAACTGTTTTTTGAACAAATCATCAGTTTCCTCTTAATACAAAATACACTGTTGGAACAAAAATATTTCAAGAATCATTTGAACACTAAATTCTTGTTAATTCGAAGTATAGCGAAATAAATTCCTTTTAAAGTGTTTAATTTTTCAACGTTTTCAACTGCAAAGACTAAAGCAAGAATATTTCAAATCATTGGTCTGTTTGTTGACCGTTAATCGTCGTTTCGATAACATCGCAAAATAGCAATTTCTCTTGAAATTCACATTGATTGAAAATTGGAAACGACCATGAACGAGAACAAGGCATGTAATATTTTTACTTCAAATTGTTGTCACGCTCCCTGTCATCGTAATCGTGCTAGTTTAGTGAATGTTTTGTTGCTTTTGCTGCTGACATACGGAATAAAGTAATACCGTTAGCAGGTGCACTTGCAACATTTGCTCATTGCTCAACTAAAAAAATCAATTGAATGAAAGCAAAATAACTAAGAAGAAAGAGTGGAAAACGCCAAAGATTATTTATCGTTTTGCATCTTTCGGTACAATGGATTTTCGTGCCAAACGAATATTCCATTTAAGAGACACATTGCATGACACCAAACAAACATTGGCACCGATTTTATTAATGCGCCAGCATATTAAAATACAATCTCACTGACAACGATTTTCAAGCGCACAAAAACCAAAACGATATTTATTTTATGTCGGTAAAACTGTGATATCGGAAACATATGAGAAAGAACCAAGGCACTCAACAATCGAAGCGAAGAGCTTCATCATCGTCGAACATCACAATGTCGTGATTCACTCTCGTTTGTTTATGCAAAAATGTCTGAACATTGAAAAAAAAAACAACATGATTTTTCGATTTTGGCATGACACACAATGGTACGTGGCATTCGTATGGATCGCAAATGTGGGGCGCACAGCAAATCAATCCAACGAAGAAACAAAAAACCGATGTAAGAGAGTAAGAATGGTATCGGCACGGAAATTCGAAAATTCTGATAAAAATGTAGGTATAAATATA